GGGTGTAGTAGGACACGGACTCGTCAAACCGGACGTCACGGGAATCTAGGAACTGGTGGAGGGGAGGGTGGTAAAAGGACCAGTCAGCAGAGTCCACTGGGAAACCAAGGAAGACACAGGGGACGGCGCGTGCCGAGAGCTTGTCCGCGGAGGTGTCGCGAACAAGTGCAAGGCAGCCCCAGACTCGAAAGGCCGACCCAACACCAGGGGATCCAGTCCAGAGACTGGTCGGTGAAGCCTCGGGCCGCGAGACACGCGGCTGGAGGTTCAGCTGGTGTGCGGCGTAGCGAACCGCGTGAGGCCACAGAAAATGGGGCGCACGGGCATGAATCATGGACGTGCGGGCGATGTCCATGACCAAGCCTATGCGGCGCTCAGCAACCCCATTCTGCTGTGGGGACTCTGGCAGCGTCCAGGACTGGGTGATGCCCTGTTCGCCGCAGAATCCGCCGAGAATGCCGGAGCGAAACTCGCCCCCACGGTCGGAGTGAAGACAACTGACTCGACGACCACGAGTGCCCTCAGTGGCTAGAAGCCACCTGATCAGCGTAGCAGTCACCTCGGACTTCTTCGCAAGAGGAAACACTGTGGTGTACCTGGAGAAGTCGTCGACGACCACCAGAAAGTAGCGCTCCCTCCCAGACCCCTGCGTCGGGGCAGGGCCCCAGACGTCCAAGTGGAGAGTCTCGAAGGGAGCGGTGGCCGGACGAAGGGAGGAGGAGTGGGGAGTGGCACGTAAGCGACCGGCGACGCACGGAGAGCAAGGAGGGGCAAGCGAGGGAGGGAGCGACGGGAAGGTGCGTGGGAGACCTGTGACTAGTCCCTGACTGAGCATGCCACGAAGGCGAGGGATCGACGGGTGGCCAAGACGGTGGTGCCACAGGACGGTGCGGTGGGCGAGAGAGCGACAGGAGTAAGACGCAGCGACTGGACTGGACACAGCGACCGGACTGGACACAGCCACCTGACCGGACTCTGCTACCGGGGGGGACGAAGCAACCTGACCAGACGCAGCTACCTGCGGGGGCGGAGTGTGCAGGACGAAGAGACCTGAGTGGGGCTCTCTGGTGAACGTGGCAAGAACTGCCCCAGTGGAAGAGTCCGTACAGATCGCAGTCCTCCCGTGCGCAGGAAAAGTGACTGTGATCCCCCGATCCTGAAGGTATCCAACACCCACCAAGTTCCGAGAGAACGAGGGGATGTAGAGACCAGTGAGGAAACCAGAGGGGACAGCCGGGCACGGGAGGGTGGTCGAGCTACGAGCAACTGCTGGTCCTGAAGTAGGATCAGCCAGGGCAACTGGGACTGGAGCCGAAAGAGGTGTGACAGTGGTGTGGTCGCGGAAGAAACACTGAGACGCGCCGGAGTCCAGCGTGAAGGAGAGCGACGCAACAGCAGTCGTCACGGCTGGGCTAGTGACTACACAAGCACCTACACTAAAAGCACAAGTACCGACACTAGCAACAGGCAAAGGTCCTAAGCTAGGTACACGTAAGCCAAGAGATCCGTACGTGACAGAATAAACAGCATCCATAGACATATCAAACACAGGGAAACCACTACGAAACAGACCGGGCCAGATCGGGGGAGCCGACTCAGGCCCAAAACGCTCACGGTAAAGGTCGTCGAGGCGGCTGTAGCAGCGCTGTGCAGAGTGGTCAGGACGCCAGCAGGTAGTGCCAGCACCAGGGCCGGTCAGGATCCGGTACTGGCAGGGGCCGACGTCGCGGCCACCGGGACGAGCCCCCCAGCTGGCTGGGCCGCTGCTGCAGCCAACGCGACCTGAACCACCAGGCCCCCATGGCTGCTGAGGGCGCCACAGCTGCTGAGGGCGCCCCTGCCGCTGCGGAAGCCACTGCTGAAAAGGCCGCTGCTGCTGTCCCTGCTGCTGGAGAACCCTAGCGGACTCCATGATAAAAGCTAGCGGGGTGCAGGAGCGGCAGGCTAGGAGCGACAGGAGCGACAGGCTGCTGTGAAAAACGAGAACAACTAGGAGCGCAAGGTGAAACCAGGCGAGTAACTGCTGGAGCACGGAGCGAACTAAGCTAGGAGCGCCAGGTGAAACTAGGCGAGGAACGGCTGGAGCACGGAGCAAACTGAGCTAGAAGCGCCAGGTGAAACTAGGCGAGGAACGGCCGGAGCACGGAGCAAACTGAGCTACGAGCGAGGAGCGAGAACGGCTGGAGCGAGAACGGCTGGAGCTAGAAGCGGCGAGCTAGGGCTGGCTGGAGGTAGGAACGGCCGGGGCTAGAGACCGTAAGTGCGGCTGTCGGCTGCCGCTAGTAGAGCCACTGGCAGTGGAAAGTACGTGCGACAGTAGGGGCTGCAGTACTGACGGCTGCGGGATGTAGGCAACTGTGCAGGTCGTCCGGCAAGCAGGAACGCGGGCGACAGTCGCAGGCCCCCACTGTGAACCCCTTTTTTTTTTTTTTTTTTTTTTTTAGGGTTTAATTTATTTATTTATTTTCTCGCACTGAAGCACCCCGGGGCGCGCTGCCTGCAGGGTGTGCTGCCTGCGGGGCGCGCTACCCGCGGGGCGCGCTACCCGCGTGGCGCGCTGCCTGCGGGGATGGGGTGACGAGCCAGGGAGGGCGCCTGGGCGACGGGCTAGGACGGGCGCCTGGGCGACGGGCTAGGACGGGCGCCTGGGCGACGGGCTAGGGCGCAGGCCTGGGCGACGGGCTAGGACGGGCGCCTGGGCGACGGGCTAGGGCGCAGGCCTGGGCGACGGGCTAGGGCGGGCGCCTGGGCGACGGGCTGGGGCGGGCGCCTGGGCGACGGGCTGGGGTGGGCGCCTGGGCGACGGGCTAGGGCGGGCGCCTGGGCGACGGGCTAGGGCGGGCGCCTGGGCGACGGGCTGGGGCGGGCGCCTGGGCGACGGGCAGGGGTGGGCGCCTGGGCGACGGGCTGGGGCGGGCGCCTGGGCGACGGGCTGGGGCGGGCGCCTGGGCGACGGGCTAGGGCGGGCGCCTGGGCGACGGGCTAGGGCGGGCGCCTGGGCGACGGGCTAGGGCGGGCGCCTGGGCGACGGGCTAGGGCGTGGGCCTGGGCGACGGGCTAGGGGCGCAGGCTAGGGGCGCGGAGGGCGCTAACGCGCGGAGGAGGAGGGCGCTAAGGCGCGGAGATGGCGCGGAGGGCGCGGTGGCTAAGGCGCGGAGGGCGCGGAGGGCGCGGAGGGCGCGGAGGGCGCGGAGGGTGCTAGGGCGCAAGGGCGCGGAGGGCGCGGAGGGCGCGGAGTGTGCTAGGGCGCAAGGGCGCGGAGGGCGCTAGGGCGCGAGCTAGGCTAGGCTAGGCGAGAGGATCGACACCTACTCATGATACCATCTCAAAGTTAGCGAACAACGGAATGATTGGAATAGAAACGAATGGGGTACAAATGAGCAACCCTAGAAGCTGTACCCCCTAGAGTGCAACTCACTATAGCCTATCATATCAATGTTCAACATTTGACAGATAGGCTATAGTGAGTTGCACTCTAGGGGGTACAGCTTCTAGGGTTGCTCATTTGTACCCCATTCGTTTCTATTCCAATCATTCCGTTGTTCGCTAACTTTGAGATTCTCTGCCCCTAGATTTCCCGTCCCTCACGTGGTACCGCATTGTTGGTCGAATGTTTCACTGGAAGGGGGAGGGGGAGAGGCGGAACAACAAGCCGGTTGCGCTGATGAGGCCAGATTATGCTGCGCGCGCCATGAAGGAGGAGGACATGAAGATGGATGATCGGATTATGAGGTTCATTCAAACCCTTTGAGCTGAATTTACACAAATAGGAGCTGGCTGAGGCATTGAGGGAGTGGAGTGGGTAGATCGGAGTTGTGCAGGTGTGGTGCATGTGTGATGAGGGTGTGTGCATGGAAGAGCAAAAAAACTGATGTATGCTCTTGGAAGTGATGACAATAAGCCAACAGAGGGTGGAAGAATATGCTTAAAAAAAAAAGGATTTTAAGTCCGAAGTTAGATCGTTTGAATAATAGCTTGCTTTCAGGAGTTCACCAACAGAGTTGGGTTGCGATAAACGGGACACGGATCATCTTGGCTTGGCATAGCGCATAGTGTCGAGCGACACTTCCAATCAATGCAGCCTAGTGGTTCTCGAAAAACCAAAGGTGACAAAAAATGGAAGTGGTCGACAAACTTCGCTGCTATCTGGAACAAGCCAAAGCGGGCGTTCCTGCCGCCCTAGATGCATTACTGGGCAGTGCATGGTGCAGTGCCCTCACGCTCAGTTACGACTGCTTTTGATGTATGCATTGTCCTCATAAATGTATATGTCAATTTTCAAAAAAAAAAAAAAAAAAAAAAAAAACCTAGTGGTTCTCATCAGGAAAGGCGGGAAGGGCAGGAGGGCAGGCATGGCTATCGCGCAAGACCGAGTAGCCATGCCCGCAGGTCTTCTTTCCGGCTAAAGCCATAACAGCTACCTGCACATGCTTCACGCTGCCACTTGTCAATTACCCAAAAGTCTTAGAACCCACCGCCAGCTGTGGAAGGCAAAGCAGAGTCGTTCTTATGGCCGTTCATAGTTTCGATGGATTCATGCTCGTCAGAATCAACGACTCGAGAAGAGAACGAGTCGTTCTCTTCTCGAGGGGGAGTTTCTCAGGCACACCGCGCAGCGACCCTGCGAAATACCCGTGCCTTCATCGCGCCCCTCGTGCACTTCTCTCCTCGCTCGCCGCGCAGCCCCCGCCGCCATGCCACTTTTGCTGCCGCCGTGGCGACGAGCAGACGAGCCTCGTCGTGCCTGACTCTTACTGACGATAAATGTAGGGTTTCTACGATGGCGTGAGCAGGGCAACCGATGTGAGTCTGTGAGATGACCATGAGAGGTTCCGAAACTCGAACTCACGATCAGTGAATCGCCCACCTAAGGCGGACTCGATTTTGATTGACGAAATCGGAATCTATGTTCGTTTCTTGTGACCCTCTCTATTTGATCGTCCGAACGAGTCGTTGTTGTACACCTAGACGAATCCAATCCTTTGGTTCTCACGGCGCTGATGGCTTCTAACCATGGGGGTGCGGCGCTGGAAGAGAGCGTGCGTGCTCTCGATGTCACCGACTCCTCTGATGCAGAGAATTCTCACGAGGTGAGCGTGATGCCGCTGACAGTGCATCTGATCCCTCCCTTTCCTCGCATATCCTCGCCTAGTCCTCTCCCACTCCCGCTGCTTTGTTTCTCCCTCATTCCAAGCACTTCCCTCTTCCCACCCATCAGAGCGTGGACGTGGTTGATCTGCTGCCCGGCCCCATCTGGCACATCATCTTCCGCCACCTGCTGCTACCACCAGGCAGTTCCGCTCACCTACAGAAGCAGGACGATCCTTTGAAGAAACTGTCTTCGCGGGAAGCGCACAGCAGTTTGCGTGACCTGGTTAATCTGCTTACCACAGAAGCGTCTGCTCAGCTGCAGCAGCGACTCTCTCTTAGCGCATTTCAGTGGGAAGAAGGCAGCAGTTCCTCAGCCACAACCAGACCACTTTCCGCCTGTGAGCAGCATGAGGAGAACGCGAGGCGCTTCGGCTCCTCCTGGCCTCTGCTGCGCTGTGCCATGGCCAGCAAGAGACTCTTCGAGCATGTCATCTCCTTCTCTGTGAGTCGTGCGGTTCCTCCCTTGCTTCCCTATTTTTCTACTCCTCACTACTACCCATGCCTACACCAGCCCTTCTCCATTATCGTTTCCTGCTTCCCTCATTCAATCGTACAACCCCCTCTGAAGCAGCTCATTTTATGGCATGCAAACTTAGGTTCAGGTTGCAAAATCCTTACTTTTGCCAAGGTGCTCTGTCATCTGGGAGGTGGGTGCTGAGTTTGTTTCATCTCTGTGTGTGGCTGTGTGAGCAGGAGCTGGAGCCAATCTGCCTCATATTCAACGATCAGGAACCCCAGTGGACAGGAATGCTCTCATGGTTCCTCAGACGGACAGGCCACAAGTCTCTTGACCTCGTTTTTAGTGACTTGACGGACTTGCGGAACCTCGGCCAGCTTATGGCATCCTCTGCTCACTCCGTCACAACTTTGTGCATAGGAGTGAAGGATTCTTCTTCGTATCATTCCAGATCCTTCGAAGACTGCCTGATCTATCCGGGCCTCTTCAAGCAGTTTGGCCAGCTGCAACGGCTTAAGCTATGCCGTGGGAGGTGGCAGCTAGGCAGTGTGGATGCAGCATGGTTCACGGCGCTGAGGAGTCTGACCATCAGTCATGTTGACTGCAGAGATTGGGATTACAACTTCCTGTCTTCCATTACCCCGCAGCTGCATGAATTCTTTCTTTCTTCCTCCAACCGTGACATTTGCAGCCTCAAACTCGGCTTCGCTGTTGCTCGAGTTGTCTCAGTCAGCTTTGAGGGCATGCTGCTTACAGTTGACTTCTCCCTCCCTCCCACTCTCAAGTCGCTTTCTATCTCGGCAGAGGACCTGGAGGTTAACTGCAAGTGCGACAGCCCTCTCTCTCTCGACTCTTTCACTCTCATTGGCCGCTCACAGCTCCTTATCTTTTCACTCCCACCACTAGCCTGCGCAAGAATTGTCATTTTCAATGGACCACACACCCTGTATCATGCCTGCCTGCATCCACTCTCCTTGACCCAGCTACTCCGCATCATAGCGCCAACAGTGGAGACGCTTTTAGTGAGGCATGGCTGGCCAATGGAGGACGTGGATGCAGAGTGGAGCCGCCTGCGCTCTCTTGGGATTGGTGTGGAAGGCTGGAGAGATGGGGTGAGCAGCAGGAGTGAGCTGGAGGCGATAAGGCCTCCTTTCATTCAAGCCCCAAAGCTGAAATCTATTTCCTTTGCGACTCGGCAGTGGCAGCCCAAGACGCTGGTATCTCTGCGCAGGCAGTTTCCGTCCCTGACGCTGTACCGCGTTGTTGGTCGGTCGTTTCACTGGGAGGGGGAGGGTGAGAAGGGAAGCAAGCAGCCAGTGGTACAGCTGAGGCCAGAACATGGTGCACATGCCATGGAGGACATGGAGCAGGATGATCGGATCATGAGGTTCCTTCAATCCCTCTGAGCTGGATGGGTTCTTTGATAAAACGAGAAGGGTAGCTGAGTTAGTGAGTAGATTGAAGTTACAGGTTTGCACCAGATGTGGTGGTGGACTTAGGGGCGATGGGGCAGCAGTGATTGCTAGCAATGGGGGTGACAATGCTGCTGGGTGGGAGGGATGTGTGTGTGGTGTTTGTAGCTGGGCCAACTGATGATGATGATGATGCAGGTGATGAAGCTGCTTCCTCTGGGTATCACGGTGGTGCTGCTCTGCAGGTGCCGCCGCCTCAGTTAATTACACTGATGTAGAGAGCAGATGGTCAGGTAGACTGATGAACAGAAGTGCTGCAGCATGATCAGGATCTGTACTGTCTTAATTCTCTTTGGAATAGGGGGGTTACGGTATTGTGATGGTTTCCCAATGGTCGCCCACGTGTGGCGGGAATTTCTTTCCAGTTTAAGGCCGAACTTATGTTGTCTATCGAGTTAGGAGTTGGTTCAAATTTAGAAACATGCTTGCACGTCCATTTCACGGTAAACAGCAGCTTTGTGTTGGCTAGGATCGAGGCTCCTTTCAGAGGGGATTGATTCCACCCAGGATTTGTGATCTCTCGAGTGCTTCCCTTCTCCAGTCAGCTGGGAAGAAAAGAGCCTAGCCGCTTTGCGAGCCGAAGAGGCATGCATTCGTATTGCACAGAGCTACGGTAGGAAATGGGAGTTAAAGCTCGCGTCTCATATTTACAAACGTTTAACACTTGGTTGGGAAACTACGAACATGATTGGTTCACGAGTGACGAATTTTTTCACGAGCGGAGGAAATATATGGGCGAAGTTGTGAAGAACTGAGGCCAAAACCACACCTCAGGGGCAGGTTTGGATCACGTCCGCACCTTGTAGGACAGGTTTGGCGTGAGTGTACTGTACTTTGTGCGACCAACCCTGACGACGGAAACACCGATTGTGCAAGGGAGAGAAGTGGCAGGGAAAAACGAAGTGCCATCACGCGCACTCCGGCTATACATCCTTACACGTAGTCATAACAATACCACTGCATTAGTAAGCAATCTTCTGTCCAAAGGCGTGAAGAAAGTGAAACATGTAACTGTGGGGAGCAGCAGTAGCGCACCCTCTTGCGTATGCCCGTGATTAGGTTATAGCCGTCACATTCCCGCCACCCTATCGCCGCTTCCCGCCACCCGTCTCCCCTGTTCGCCGCCCAATCTCCCGTGCTCGCCGCCCGATCTCCCCTTCCCGCGGCCCGATCTCCCCTTCCTGCCGCCCGATATCCCCTTCCCGCATCCTCTCGCCTTTCCGCGTAGCCTCCTCTCGCCTCTCCGCGCGGCCTCCTCTCGCCTCTCCGCGCGGCCTCCTCTCGTCTCTCCGCGCGGCCTCCTCTCGCCTCTCCGCGCGGCCTCCTCTCACCTCTCCGCGCGGCCTCCTCTCGCCTCCCCGCGCCGTCTCCTCTCGCCTCCCCGCGCGGCCTCCTCTCGCCTCTCCGCGCGGCCTCCTCTCGCCTCCTCTCGCCACTCCGCGCGGCCTCCTCTCGCCTCTCCGCGCGGCCTCCTCTCGCCTCTCCGCGCGGCCTCCTCTCGCCTCCCCGCGCGGCCTCCTCTCGCCTCTCCGCGCGGCCTCCTCTCCCCTCCCTTTGCCCTCGCTACCCCCTCCCATCGCCATCGCTTCCCCCTCCCGTCGCCCTCGCTTCCCCCTCCCATCGCCCTCGCTTCCCCCTCCCATCGCCCTCGCTTCCCCCTCCCATCGCCCTCGCTTCCCCCTCCCATCGCCCTCGCTTCCCCCTCCCATCGCCCTCGCTTCCCCCTCCCGTCGCCCTCGCTTCCCCCTCCCTTTGCCCTCGCTTCCCCCTCCCATCGCCATCGCTTCCCCCTCCCATCGCCCTTGCTTCCCCCTCCCGTCGCCCTTGCTTCCCCCTCCCGTCGCCCTCGCTTCCCCCGCCCATCGCTAGTCCACTTGCGCCATCTGTCAGCGTGGGGCAGCAGCACCACCAACGCCTCCTCCTCTCACCTCCTTGCCTTCCTCTTCCCCCTCTCCCCCCCAAACCCCCACCCACTCTTCCCCTGCAGTTGCTGGTTCACTTGCGCCATCTGTCAGTGTGGGGCAGCAGCATCACCAACGCCTCTGCGCCGCTGCTCCCTTTCCCCCACTCCCACCATCCTCTTTCCACCCCCGCCTCTCCCCCTTCCCCTGCAGTCGCTCGTTCACTTGCGCCATCTGTCAGTGTGGGGCAGCAGCATCACCAGCGCCTCTGCCTCGCTGCTCCTCGCCTTCCCCCGCCTGCTCTCCGCCAACCTCGCCTGGACTGCCCTCTCCCACCTCCCCGCCCACCCCTCCCTCACCGCCCTCCACCTCTCCCACTGCCCCCTGCTTTCCATTGGCTTCCCTCTCCCCTCCTCCTCATCCTCTCCCTCCGCCTCCTCTCCTTCCTCCTCTCACTCCTCCTCCTCTTCCTCCTTCCCCCTCACTCATCTGGTTCTCTCTGGTGCCTCAATCGCTCCTCCCTCCTCCCTCTTCCCTCCTCACCTCCTCGCCTTCCTCACTCACCTCACCTCGACCCCTCTACTGCTGCTGTCCCTGACGCCCTTCTGTTACACCTCGCCCACTCCCTTCCCCACACGGTACGTTAGCTCCTCACCACTCTCCCTCACACACCTTGATCTCTCTGGCTGACTCTGTTTCCCCTGCTCATTCTCTTCCCCTCGGCTCACTCTGTTTGGCCTGCTCATTCTCTTTCCCCCGGCTCACTCTGTTTGGCCTGCTCATTCTCTTCCCCCCGGCTCACTCTGTTTCCCCTGCTCATTCTCTTCCCCCCGGCTCACTCTGTTTCCCCTGCTCCTTCACTTCCCCCCGGCTCGCTTTGTTTCTTCCTGTTCACTCTAATTTCCGCTACTCAGTCTGTTCCCCCTTTCACTCACCCCCATTTCCAGCCGCGCAGGGTACAGGTCCCAGCACCATGGCCCAGGGTTTATTGCATGCAGTGTAGCAGCCAAGAGTGGCCCAAAAACATTACATTTCTAGCTGTCTTCTTGGTGACATTAGTCAGTTGCCAAGTACTTCCTTTGTAGTGGTCATGTGCATGGCTGCTTCTGAGCAAAGTGTTTGTATTATAACAAAGCATCCAACATCAATATACGGCATGGCCAATCATTGTAGCACTCTCAAACAGTCAACACATCACCACAACCAGATGCATAGCAGACATGTATACAAACACAAACCAGGAAATAAGATGTGACATGGCTGTGCAGCAGGGAAGTATACAAGATAATGAGAAGGACAAGCAGCCAACACGGGAAATGATAACGCAAGGTCCCTCGATTTATGCATACAGTTGAAGAGGAACAGAAGAAGGGATGAAAAGAGGAAGGGTGGAAAAGAGGGAGGAACTGATGAAGGGAGGAACGGCGGGGGAGAAGAACACGACAGCACTCACCAGCACAGCACTCACCAGCACTGCACTCACCAGCACAGCACTCACCAGCACTGCACTCACCAGCACAGCACTCACCAGCACAGCACTCACCAGCACTGCACTCACCAGCACTGCACTCACCAGCACTGCACTCACCAGCACAGCACTCACCAGCACTGCACTCACCAGCACTGCACTCACCAGCACTGCACTCACCAGCACAGCACTCACCAGCACAGCACTCACCAGCACTGCACTCACCAGCACTGCACTCACCAGCACTGCACTCACCAGCACTGCACTCACCAGCACTGCACTCACCAGCACTGCACTCACCAGCACAGCACTCACCAGCACTGCACTCACCAGCACTGCACTCACCAGCACAGCACTCACCAGCACTGCACTCACCAGCACTGCACTCACCAGCACAGCACTCACCAGCACTGCACTCACCAGCACTGCACTCACCAGCACAGCACTCACCAGCACTGCACTCACCAGCACTGCACTCACCAGCACTGCACTCACCAGCACTGCACTCACCAGCACAGCACTCACCAGCACAGCACTCACCAGCACTGCACTCACCAGCACTGCACTCACCAGCACTGCACTCACCAGCACAGCACTCACCAGCACTGCACTCACCAGCACTGCACTCACCAGCACAGCACTCACCAGCACTGCACTCACCAGCACTGCAGGGTGGGTGAGTGAGCAGGGAGTGTGAGTGAGCAGGGTGTGTGAGTGAGAAGGGTGACAACTACAGCATTGACTATGGCAATCCCCCCTGTTGGCGCCCACTGCTGCTTCTGTGTCGGAGGTGTGTGGTATGCCACCACTTCCTTGAAGGCTGCTGCTGCCGCCCACAGAGGGCCAGAACAAGGGGGAAAACGGAGGGAAGGAGAAGGGGAAAGGGAGGGAGGGAGAAGGGTGTGAGAGAGGGACGGGTGTGAGAGAGGGATGGGTGTGAGAGAGGGACGGGTGTGAGAGAGGGACGGGTGTGAGAGAAGGACGGAAGTGAGAGAGGGACGGGATTGATTGAGGGAGCGAGAAAGCGCGGTGGCATCGTTCTCGCGTGAGGAGGGTGCGAGAGCAACGGGTGAGAATGCGGGACGACAGTGACTGCGGAACGGGTGGGATAGCTGCGTGCTACGAGGTGAGCGAGGAACGGAGCAGCGAGGAGAGGAACGGAGCAGCGAGGAGAGGAACGGAGCAGCGAGGAGAGGAACGGAGCAGCGAGGAAAGGAACGGAGCAGCGAGGAGAGGAACGGAGCAGCGAGGAGAGGAACGGAGCAGCGAGGAGAGGAACGGAGCAGCGAGGAAAGGAACGGAGCAGCGAGGAGAGGAACGGAGCAGCGAGGAGAGGAACGGAGCAGCGAGGAAAGGAACGGAGCAGCGAGGAGAGGAACGGAGCAGCGAGGAAAGGAACGGAGCAGCGAGGAGAGGAACGGGGCAGCGAGGAAAGGAACGGAGCAGCGAGGAAAGGAACGGAGCAGCGAGGAAAGGAACGGAGCAGCGAGGAGAGGAACGGAGCAGCGAGGAGAGGAACGGAGCAGCGAGGAGAGGAACGGAGCAGCGAGGAGAGGAACGGAGCAGCGAGGAGAGGAACGGAGCAGCGAGGAGAGGAACGGAGCAGCGAGGAGAGGAACGGAGCAGCGAGGAGAGGAACGGAGCAGCGAGGAGAGGAACGGAGCAGCGAGGAGAGGAACGGAGCAGCGAGGAGAGGGGAAGGAGAGGGGGAACTGATGCGGAGCAGAAGGGGAAAGTATGGAAAGCACTGGGGGCATTCATGGGGAGCAAAAGGGGAAAATTTGGGGAGCAAAAGGCATTCTTGGGGAGCAAAAGGGCATTCATGGGGAGCAAAAGGGGTAAATTTGGGGAGCAAAAGGCATTCTTGGGGAGCAAAAGGGCATTCATGGGGAGCAAAAGGCATTCTTCCCCCTCCCTGCTCACCTACCTCCCCCTTATCACAGCACCTCCCTTCCCCCTCTCATCTCACCTCCCAACCACCTCTGACCTCACCTCCCTTTCCACTCCCTAAGCACCTCTCTTCCCCATCTCACATCACTTATTTCCCCCCTGCTAGCACCTCCATCCCCCCTAACTAAGAACCTCTCTTCCTCCTCCGAACTCACACACCTTTCCAACTCCCCTCACCTACCTTCACCGTCTGAGCTCTCCTCTCTTCCCCCTCCATAAGCACATTTTTTCCCCCTCTCACATCACATCCGTTTCCCTTATCTCAACACATCCCCCCCCCCCCCCTCTGAACTCACCTCCCTTCCCCCTCCCACAACACACACACCCTATCATGGCACCTCCATTCCCCCGTCTGACCTCACATCCCTCCCCCATTCCCTCTCATTCCGCCATTTTCCATCATTTCGCCTCTCATTCCGCCATTTTCCACCATTGCGCCTCTCATTCCGCCATTTACCACCATTTCGCCTCTTATTCCGCCATCTACCACCATTCCGCCTCCCCGCCAACTTCCACCATTCCGCGTCTCATTCCGCCCATCATTTCGCCTCTCTAACCGCCATCTAACGCCATTCCGCCACTAATTCCGCCATCTACCGCCATTCCGCCACTAATTCCGCCATCTACCGCCATTCCGCCAATAATTCCGCCATCCACCGCCATTCCGCCACTAATTCCGCCATCTACCGCCATTCCGCCAAAAATTCCGCCATCCACCGCCATTCCGCCACTAATTCCGCCATATACCACCATTCCGCCACTAATTCCGCATGGAATAAAACCGCAAATCCGTCGAGCTCACCTACTAAAGGCAGGGGAGGAGTGCGAGGCAACCCGGAATGGGGTATCACGATGCAGAATGTAAACGAAGTGATGTGGAGCGGGACTCAAAGAAGTGGGTTGTCTAAGTGCATAATGAGGTTCTTGGTGAATGACCTATGAGGACTTCTCTGTGATAGTATACGCTAGGACACGCGATAGTAAAGCGTAAAACACTTGAACGGGTGCAGGAACTACGCTCCTTGTGAGAATGGTAGAGTTGGGTGTCTCATATTTCCGACCCCTGTAAAATGCTTGGTCTGCACACGGGAGAGTGCGACACTCTGTTGTCGCAGCCTGTGGTTTCGTCGCGCAGGTGTGTCTCCCAGCCTGGTTTGGCGAAACCATACACTGAGTCACACCACGTTGTTTGTACTGTACATTTGGTTTGCGGGGCCGACCCACACCCAACCAACCTTCCCAAACCTAACCCTTGCTTGGGGGTGTTATGCGACAAAACAGGCTGTTACCGGATCCCAAGCGTTTAACACTTGGTTGGAACGAAAAAATATGAGACGCGAGCTTTAAGCCATCCAAGTTGGCACGGTTAGTATGTCGACACGTGGAGTGGAGTTGCTGCTTGGCGGAAACCACTGGTGGATGTCGAAGCATGGGCAATGGAATAGTCGCTGGCACCACTAGTCATAAATCCACCGTCGCCATAGAAATCAAGCATGCCGGGCTAATTGCTCGCCACTTATCGTTGAGAAGTATTGGCTAATTACTTTTCATGATTGGAGCTGTCAATCTCAACTGGACGTTGGCGGATTCAACCCCACCATTTTCGTCAGCGATTGCGATTGCGTAGTAACCTGTCGCCGGCTAATTCTTGCTCTCAAGCTAACAGCAGCCTCTGACGCTGAGCTAGTAACGGCATCAATCGGACATCATGGTGAGATTTATGCCGCAGCTCCGTGTTTCTTCGCTTTCTGTCTGACGCAGTGAGATAGTCCACTTCTCCTTTCACTATTTTTCTTTTCGCACCACCTCATCTTATTATCCGCCTTCACTTACTCGCATTTCCACTACTTAATTTCCCACCCACCAGAGCCAGGACGTGGTTGATCTGCTGCCCGGCCCCATCTGGCACATCATCTTCCGCCACCTGCTGCTGCCAACGGACTATCCCGCTCCGCTACTCAACCTACGCGAATTCTCTAACTGTTTCGATCGGGAAGAACTGTTTGATTTGTCTGACCCAACACAGGCGGAAGAAGCAATCAGATTGTTCTTCTTTAGAATGTATCCTGACCGGGAGACGCATGAGGAGAACACAAGGCGCTACGGCTCTTCCTGGCCACTGCTGCGCTGTGCCATGGTTAGCAAGAGGCTCCTCCACCATGTCATCTCCTTCTCCGTGAGTCATGCACAGCGCTGGTTCCTCATGCAATATTCTACGCGTCGTTCCGCTCTGGATGCTGAATTGCCCGGTCACAGCTAAGGCCATCTGGCA